ATAGAAGTGACCAGAGCGATGGATACGCCTTCGAAGAGGTCTACGTTGCGAACGATGGCACTAGACTCCTGGGTCCAAATAAAGCGATCTATACCTCCAGGAAACATAGCGCCAAGAAGATCCAACGGAGATACACAGTGACGGATGAATCGTCTCGGGCGTTACGAAAACGGGCAGGGGTCTATATCGACAAGAGGTATGACTGACGACAAGATAATCCGTACTTCTGGGAACTGAATAACTATGAACAGCGACGACGAAACGTATGGCGACGGCGACGATGAGGGCGGGAGCGACGGTGATGATGACGAGTACCATGGCGTTGCGAAGGCTGAGCCTGCCAATACCCCTTCGGTACGTCGTCAACGCGATTTCAACGCTGAAAAGAGTGATTGACCAGATCGTAGGCCAGTGCTTCGGTGGATTCTCTCAATGTAACGAACGTGATATGCCCATTTTGGACACTTATCTGACGCTGTAATCATAGTTCACAAACATACTGCCCACAGAACAATCCGCCTCCACGTCAATTCCTGAACAACCTCGTCCCTTCTTGACGGCGAGAAGTTCGTCCAGTCAGGCGCGGCCTCCACGGCGAACCAACACACGTAAAAGGGATCCCAAGCCTGCGCTTAAATCCACCCGTGTCGCTTTACTCAAGACGAAGGCCAAGAAATCGGGTCGACCGATGCCTTCTTGGACTCGCTTCCCTCTTGTCGAGGATGACGCCTCAATGGACGAAGCACCTGCGGCGACCGCCATCAATCAAGTGCCCATACCTTTCGTCACGATCGCAGAGCCAGGTGGCGAGGAACAAGACGTTGATGTTGTGTTGGAACCAGTCGAAGAGCAGGAGGATCACCAGGAACTCCAACCCGCCGCACATGCAACCACAACTCCCATAACCCCAGTTACTTCTGTGGAGTCTCAGAACTCTCGGTTCAGCGCGTCGCAGCAAACTGAGCGTCCTCCCATTCTAAATCTCGCCGGCCGTTCATTGTCTCCAATCCCGGTCCAGCAAGTTTTGCATGGACGTCCAACTCTTCTTCCACTCGCCGAAAAGGAATTCGATCAAGAGCTCCGTGCAGTTGACCATGAGGATGGTGGCTGTAAGGACGCGCTCGAGGAGCGCAAGGCGGACGAAGCCGAGCAGGAGGGTCAGGAGAAGGCGGACGAGGAGCGCCAGCGCAAGGCGGACGAAGCCGAGCAGGAGCGTCAACGCAAGGCGGACGAAGCCGAGCAGGAGCGTCAACGCAAGGCGGATGAAGCCGAGCAGGAGCGTCAGCGCAAGGCGGATGAAGAGCGCCAGCGCAAGGCGGACGAAGCCGAGCAGCAGCGCCAGCGCAAGGCGGACGAGGCTGCGCAGGAACTTCTTCGCAAAGCGGACGAGGAGCGTCAACGCAAGGCGGACGAAGCCGAGCAGGAGCGCCAGCGCAAAGCGGACGAGGAGCGCCAGCACAAGGCGGACAAAGCCGAGCAGGAGCGTCAGCGCAAAGCGGACGAGGAGCGCCAGCGCAAGGCGGACGAGGCTGCGCGGGAACGTCTTCGCAAGGAGAGCGAGGCTGATCGGGAACGTTGTCAAAGATCCGGCATTGCTGCTCCAACATCGCAGCCATACGCCAATTATCAGGCCTATCATTCACATGCACAGCAACAAGCCGCAAATGCCTCACGCGCACCGTCTGGGCAATCGAAACAACGGCGCCGTCCGCCTCCTCCCCCTCCTCGCCGTCTTACCTCGGAAACCGCAAGACCTCCAGAGTCCACGCAGGCGCAGACCGCCGATACTTAT